ATATTCTTTATGTTGAGATTTGAAGCATGTGTCTGAAAAAAACCTCTTTTTAATGCAATATTTTATTTATTCCTAGTCTCGAGACACATGACAGACACTTGTTTCCTTTGAGCCCCAGCCATTTTTTTTTTCTGTCACTGGATCTGTGTAGCAATGTCCTTTGGTGCTCCTTGGGCCAAGATTCAGGTGGACTTCAGGTGCCTAAAATTGCCATCACCAAAAAGTCCTGAAAGACAAACACAATTCATGTGAGCTTTTCTTCCAACTCCCAAATTATTCCAGTTTTCATAGAGTCCTTCTCTTGGTCTGATTCTGTAATCCCCTCATTAAACAACACAGGTTTTTAAAACTGCTTTCTCAATTAACGAGTTCACATGCAATTAATTCAAAGCGCAAAGACTTAAACATGTTAAAACTTAAACCTGAGGCACAGAGGCAATCCCATGGAAGGCAGAAACTGGAATTACTTGCATTACATAAATGTTGGGAGAATGTTTCAGAAGAGTTGGAACAGTAACAAATGTGTGTGGGATGGCGAAAGGAATGGTGAAAAAGCACAAGTCCTTGACATATGTATTTGTATTGCTGCTTTTGTTTTAGCTTTAGAGATGTTTGGAACATAACGTGGTCATTCCACTGCTTGGCCTTCCAGTGACAAATCTGAAGGTCTTAGAAAATAATAACTCAAGTTATTCCAGGCTGGTGTGTATTAAGCAACCTTTGAAACACTAAAGATATTAAATCCCAACCTGGTTTGGTCATTGGGATTTAAACCTGAGCAAAGAAAAATGTGAGCTAGCACAGAAAAACATTGAGCGGTACTGGGATCTACCCCAGGCTATTATGAAGTCATTGAACAGGAGGGCTGAGATCCACACTCTGAAATAAAACAGTGCAATCAAGGCACTTGTTCTATCATTTTAACATGAGGATACATGCAACAGCCCCTGATTTAGCACAACACAGAGGGAACCACCTCCAGCACTTTCATGCATCTCCCAACTCGAGGAGAAGCAGGTATTATTTTTCTGCACATATTATTTCACTAAAGACTTCACCAGAGAGGAAAAGACAAATGTATGATTCATATTCTAAAGAGTGTTATCAAGCTTTTGATCTACTAGTGAGCTTTTGAGAGGTAAATTGCAATTGCATCTATATAAATGCCAGCTTGTCTATTAGCAGGATAGGATTTTTAGTTGTTTTGGTGACTTCAGTGTCCCCAGCAGAGGAAAGAAAATGATCACCCAGTCCACATGGAAAATGGGCAGTTTCAATATTTCTTTAAGAATCTGGAAAGATTCTTAGGCTCAGTATGTGTGGACTGTTTATGACACTGACTTAGCAAAGCTGTGCCTTCAAATCCATATTTTATTGGAGAGAATAGAATACCCATGGGTCAGTATCAGATGCTGAGGGGGGCAGCAGTTTGCAGTGAGTTTGCAATTCCTTTGTCCCTACAGTCTCTCCCAGTCTGCAGGACACTGCCAGGCAGTGCAGTGTACATTCCTAGGCAGAATAAAGGTATTTGAATACAGATATTTGAGCTGAGCATTACAGTGTCCATCAAAGTGCTCAGGGAAAGCCTCAATGCTTCAATCATCTGAAGAGATTGGTAGCTGTAAGATCTATTTTCTTGTGGAATCATCACTTGGATGATGATGATCAGGAGACTGTTCCAGGGATATGCAATGTTTGTATTGATGCTACTGTAACCAGTAATTATTTCCTACATTTATTTATTTTCCTGTCAGCTTTCAGGGAGGTGATTAGTGTTGGTTTAGAAATCCTGGCCACCTTTAGCTTTTACCAGTGAAAAATTCCTTTTTTTTCTGTCCTTCCTGCTGTACCTCCATTCAATCCTTCAGCATGTCCCTGAGAAGATCCTGCTTTCCTCCTTCCAGATAATGGGGATGCCACTGGCCTTGTTCTTCATGCTGAAGACATTCCCAACATCAATTTCCACTTAATCTTCATTTTCACATCACTTAGAGAGCCTAAAAATGTCAAGGTGTCTGAGAGTGGGGTCAGGACCCTGTGACTAAGATTGGCCCTGTGTTTCTCCATTTTCACACTGAATGGGCAGTATTTTAGCATTGCCTTTTCTTTTCTATTTTGATTATAAGCCCCCTGTTAGAGGCAATTTTTCTGGGCAGGGGTAGAAGAGTGACTTCTTATCTCTGCAGTTCCCAGGATGAAAGAGTATTAGATGGGGACCTTTTCTGACACCATAATAATTCCAAAATATTTACTTTGATTTGCATGTTTTGGAGATTCTGGCCGTCCCCATCAAAGATCCCTCTGGTGATGAATTGTAGCCCTGGGTTCGGTGCAGAAAGTGCAGAAAATGCATTTCCTCAAGAAGTTGTCAAGGAAAACTCTCCCTTGTGACCTTGCCTGTGAGCCTGGATGTACTCCAGCACAGGGGAGCCCTTTGAATCTAAAATGTATATAAACACAAGTACACAAATCCAGTAGCAATACAGAGCTGAAAAAACGTCAGGACACTGTCTCTGCAATAACAGCTCCAGAGCAGGACAGCTTCTCGTGGCTGCTCTGCCTAAAATGGGAAGCAGTGAGCAAGAGCAGCCCTTGGAAGGAGGCACCAAGACTGGCTGGAGCCTTGGGCTGTGTGATGGAGCACCAGGGATGCTGACACCCATGGGCAAACTGAGAGGCTGCCTCCTGCTGCATCCCATCTGATAGGGCTGCGTTGAAAATAAGCTTCATTTTCAGGGTTGCAGATAAGGCCTCTTATTTATGAGAGTGAAAACTCCTCTGGCATCCAGAGGAAGCACCTTGGCGTCTGCCCTGAAAGGCATCGAGGTCTCTCTCAATGCCCTGAGAGGGATTAAATACAAACATCTGCTAAGCCTCTTACCATGAGATATCCGTCTGGGCTTGTACCTTCCCTTCTTGTGTGCCCACAGAGAAAATATACTCCACATTTAAGCAGTGCATTTACTCAACACCAAACAGGATGTGAAATAATAACACTTAAAACGAAGAAAAAATGTCTGCATTTCCTGCTGGCTTTATTAACTGACAGATCTCCTGCACTGCAAAATGTATCAAACACTTCCCATTTGAAAAATGATGTAGATAATGGCTGACTATTAGCACTAATTGTACCCTGTGATGTTTGGGAAAACTCAAAAGGACTGGAAGAACAGCCAAAAAAAGCTGAGGAATCACTACAACAATTGATTTAATGAAGTGATAAGCTGTATATAATACTCTCTGCTTGCAAGTGAAAAGACACCTCTGCTGGTTTTGATTTGTTGCCAAGAGTAATAAAAGATACAACAACTAAGGAAACAAAAGCAATCAAGAATGTAACCTATCTTCATGAACATTTTCCTGAAACAAAACACCTTAGAAAATACAGAAGCACCAGGCACAAAGTAAAGAAAAACCAGTTTGTACATTGATTTGGATATTGCAGCATGAAGAAAAAGGAATAGGAAATTATTTTTCCACATTTTATGGCTATAAATTGCATAATTTAAAATCATTTTACTAAAATGATACGATGAAAATTAAAGATGGTGACAAAATTTGAGCCCCAGACACTAAAAGCCAGCAACATTAGCAGAAATTGATTGATTTATTTATTTCCCCATGGTAGAGATGAATTACCCCTGGAATTGCAGCTCTATTTCTTGCCTGTTGAGCTTGCCTGTTTTCAAGGCTCACTTTTAGTTTTACCAAAAAAAACCCAACACCTCAAGCCCCCAAACTTTTTGATTATGCAAATATTTTTTCTAGCCTGGTTTTGGGGAGAGTGCCCTTTTGATTTAATATTATTTATATTCCTTATTCTCTTTGACTTATTTCCCACAAAGAAGAATTCAGAGCACTTCTGGAAATAATTTTGCAACATTCAATTTGCAAATTCTGCCACATGACCAATCACTTCTAATATGTTTTTACGTATCTTCCTTTGCTTCTTTTCACACCAGGCCCTAAAATCTCGCAACAGGCCCTGCCACTATGCCAGAAAAAGCAGATGTAGCATTTTTAGCCATTAATTCTTTTGGCTCAATAAAGTCCTTATGTAAAACTCCTATTTCTAGGAATTGCATCCAAAAGTGCATATGCCTGAAAGGTTATTAAATATTAATATTGGGAAAAGGAAGACTGTTCTCTCTTCTTCCTCTTCTAAAGTCCTCTTTTGATTTACTGCTTTCTGTAGACCCAAATGTAAATAGTGTCACAGCAAATAAGTGTTTAGTGTCTGTGAAGTTTATTCTATTTGAGTTCTTTAGTCTGAGTTATAATGTATATAAATTAGTGGCCAGTGAGTGTTGTTTAATTATCAGGAAGCCTTGTCATTGACAAAGTGACCTGTGCTGGCTTTCTTGCTAGAAGGAATTGAAGTTGTTATGCTAAAGTCTGGACAATTCGATGTAAATATTTACCCACTCAATAAAGAGGTGTTAAAGCTAATTCAGCTTTAGGATGTTAACTCCTGGAGATCACACAAGCCCCCTTGGGAAGCCAGCTTCAATTCGACAGGGAAGCTTCAGATCGTGCTTCAGGGAATTAAAAGATGCTCTAACAAGGTAAATAAGGGTAAGTTTGGGCTTGATCATGAGCATGCCTGGGAAAAATTATCTGCACACCAAGAAGGATCCTCCTCTCTGTCTGTGCTTCCCTCCCAGTGCCCATCACTGTGGATTTTGTCTGGATTTTTTAGTTCTGAGTGAAGGTCAGTGCAAAGATGAAGATCTTGATGTCCCCACAGCTCATCTGAGATGGTCCAAAATATCCTGCCTGTCTTCTGCCTGGAGTGTGCCCAACCATGTCCTGTAAGTCTTCCGGAACATGGGTGTGAGGGGATAGAATACAAGAAAATAGTGTAGAAAGTAATCTCACCCCTAAGGAGTTGCAGCTGGGGCCAATTATCAAAGATTAGGAGCAGGCCTGACTTTACCAGGCCACAGCTGTAAGCAATGAGAAACAGAGTGCTATAAAAGAGTGGGGTGGCTGGGTGAGAGGGGAGCTGGAGTCAGTGGCTGCTTTGTGGAGAAGGAGGAGTCAGTGCTTTGAGGAGCTGCCCATAAGAAACACCAAGCAGGTATGAAACTTTTGTGATGAGGCGACAACAGTATGGAACCCCTGCAATAAGATGATAATGTGGATGTCTTAGCAAGGCTGGGGTGGCCCACAGGGTGTGAGACAGAGGTGTGTGAGCAGCTGAACCAGGTCCTCACCCTCAGCAAGTCAGAGCAATAACCACCAGCCCAAGGGGCTGTGGTTTTAGTCAGTTTGGAGAACTTCTGTCAAAATCAGGGTAGCACAGAGATGGTTATTTTTGCTTTAGAGGTTTGGTTGTGTATCCCTCCTCTGAGAGACAATCTGACACAGTATTTTATGTGATGAGTGATTTTTAGTACTTTCTTTTTTCTTCTGAGGGTTTCACAGGGTTTGATGCTCAGGACAGTACTGGATTTATTGGCTTCACGCGGCTCAGAGACTTTGTCTGGAGAGCCATCACTTGTGACCACTGGAGCAACCAAATCTGTCCCACACTGCCACTGCTTAACCAGCAGTTAGTTAAACTTCTGGGTAGGAAAGGGCTTTGTGGCCTGTGGACTGTAAGACATCTATTCCTGGGCTCCCAACCCAGGAGTCAGCCAGCTCTGCCCCTTGGACCTGCACCAGGCAGTTCCTGGGCTCTGTAGCATAGCACAGAGCCCTCCTGCACTTGCAAGCCCAGGGGGCTGCTGCTAGAGGAGGTTTTTGAACTTCCACACCATGGGATTGACTCCCAGGGCCCCCTCTGCATTGTCCTGGGTGGAGCTGCTCCCTCAGAGGCAGAAGGGTCATCCCTGTCCCCAAGGGAAAGGGGACAGCTGCTGCCTTTGGATCCCCTCTGCTGTTTGGCCTCTCTGGTCAGTGAACTCCACGGAGATGTGGCTGTTAAGCGTGACCAGAAATTATTTCATGCAAACATAGTGTAAAGGATTTCTGCTTGCTCCACGTTGCTGCCCCTGTGCCATCTCCATGTGCTGGTTGAACTTCACATGCAGAATAAGAGCAGCACAGGGCTTGCCAGGAAAGGAGCTCCTGAGGAGATGTGGCAGGAAAAGCAGCACATCCCACCTGGCATTGCTCAGAAAGGCTGCAGAGCCCCACATGGACAGGACTGACCTTGGCTAACTCCTCTGGGGACTCTCAGGGTGTCCCACAGGCAGGATAGAACAGAGCCAGGGCTCTCCTCTCCACAGCTGCCACTGGGAACAGCCAAAGAGGACACTGGAGAGTAACCCTCAATGGCATTAGATATTGAGCATGAACTCACACTCTCCTTTAGAAGCACAGGCTTGTCCTCAAAGCTTTTTTTTTTTTTTTTCCCCAATAAAGAAAGTTTAGAGGAGAAACTCTAAGTAAAGAAAATTTAAAGGAGAACAGAGAAATTCATTTTGCCTTCACTAGATTACAAAATTTATCTGTGTATTTGCCATCTGATGCAGATCAAGGACCAACACTGTCAAGATTATAAGGGAAAGGATATTTTCTCTTCATTTCCAGGACAAAATGTAGACAGAATTAAAGCAGATCTGCTGAGCTTAAATTGTTTTCAACTTCTTCCAAGAGAGGAATACTCCCGTTTCCAATTTCTTCTTCCTAAACCAATGATACTTGCAGAGAATTATAGTGAGCCTTTTCCTAGGGTTTCTGTAGGATTCAGTAGTAACTTGAAAAAGAAATGACCTGACAATGCCTATATATACACATATTTGGAATGCCAGAAACTGCTTCTCATGGTTTCAAATAAGAAGGTGGCTGCTTCCATACACCCCAGAACTGCCACTTGCTGCTCATACAATGCAGAAGTGTCTGCTCAAATTCCAGGTAAACACAGCCACAAATGACAATAAAGGAGCAAGGGCAGGTTTTTAGCCTATGTTGAAGAAAATACACCAGTGCTGTTCTTGATTTGGTTCATGTTTGTCCTGAAGCGGAAGATGAATCTACTCAGTAGAAATTTGGGGTTAGGGGTTAATTTTGCTCCCTCATTAATTTTATGACATAAAATGCACTTTTCACAAGATATCAAAATCGTAAATTGGCATAAGTAGGGACAAGTTCATTTTGCTCCCAGAGACTCTAGCTCCACATGTCCCAGATTGAGCACTCTGTGACACTCCTCTCTCCCCTTTCCCTTGCTGTAATCTCCCTTCTGTCTGTCGGCTGCAGAGGGGAAACCAAAGGCTCCGACCACCCACGGGGCCTCCTCAGCAGCTGTGAAACAAAGGTTCCAAGAGCCAAAAATGCCTTTTCTGCAGCAGTGCCATCTCCTGTGGCTGGGCCTTGGGTTGGCACTGGGGGCCATGTCAGCCAGGGAGTTTCTTTGAAAAGGCAGAAGGAAAACATCTTTGCAGTGCTTCCCTCAGCCCGTTTCCTCTGGGGAATTTGCTACCCTGTTGGATGTACAAAATAGGATTTTGAGGGGGGGCTGGGGGGTGTGGAATTGTTCTCTGTTCAAGGTCCAAATTACTTGAGTTGAGCATTCTCAGCGCTTTATGGGAAAAGAGCCATGGCCCACCTTGGCTTTTATGGGAGAGGAAGAATGTGAGTCAAAAATTAAATTCATGTAACTTTGTGGGTGGCCTCCCCTGCTATGCAGAATATCTTTGTGTACACTCATGTCTGCCATGACTTTGAGAAAAAGCCCTTTACTTGTATGGCAACAAACTTGTAAGGCAGAGTGTTTACGTTCCTGAACACTATATCACATTTCCTGACAGAGTTAATGAAACAAATTAAGCAAAAACTCCACACAGATTCCTGTGTTCCCAGAAAACTTTGCAGAATTCTTGCAGCTCCTGGTTGTGGTGGTAGCTGAGTGTGCTGAGCCTTATTTTCCATTTTCTAAAATATCATAAGCTGCCTGGCCTAGTCTTGGCATTTTTATCTTGAGGAATGAAGGATCAGGTTAAAATACTCTTTTAAACTACATCCCACTTCTTTCAGAGGCTCCAAAGTCAGTTTTCAGAGTGACCCAAAGGACTAGTCAGCTTCATGGGGACCTGACATGTGTTTAAAGTTAAGGAAAAGATTGATGACAGGGTACTTTGAACACACATTTTCCTGACTTGGGTCATCAGGCAAATGAATCACTCAATTAATGCAATGAGAAGGCTGCAAATGCATAAATATACAAGTGTTTGCCATGCTGGGTTTTTAATGTGGTGTCCTCCAAAGAGGTATTATCAGGTCTTTGGAGATGACAGGGAACTGTGTACAGCAGAGCTCATTCAGAGGAAACAGGGCTGCCCTTCTTCACTTATTTGATATTTCTGTTCAATTTGGAAATGTAAAAACAATGAAGTGTCCAGATTTGCAACTAAAGAAAAAGGTTTTTACAAAATACAAGTGGATTTTGACTTTCAAGCTGGTTTTCCACACCCATTTAATGCAGCTTTAGACTGATTATATTTTCATTTTGGAGGCAAGGCACCACGGAAGGCATTTCAGCATATAAATGGAAAAATATTGCTCAGGAGAAATGTCCACATTTACCTAATCACCCTTCTGCAGCCAAAACTTTCTTCAGGAAGGGGCCTCAGGAAGTCCTCACCCATGAAGTCCTGCTGACTGTAATGGAATGGGCAGGCATGAATGAGTAAGCAACCCCAGAGTGTAAAGCCAGCTCAGAAACCAGCCTTTTACTACCAAAATTCTTTAGGTTTTCATTTAAGAGTTTCATATTCATGCAAATTTCCTATGGTATAAAAATTTTCAAGATTAAAACTGTGAATGTAAATTAAGATTAATGCCATCAATTGTATACAGAGAATATGATTAATATGCTATTCTTAAAAATGTTTTAGATAACATGGAAGTTGAATATTTGGATCTTAAAATATGGATTTTCAATTATGCCTTACCCCAGTTTTCTGTTGATTTCTTATATATATATATATTCATGACTTAATTTACTTAATAAAACTTGAATTGGCCGCATAGCTATTCTTACTCCAAATTCTCCAATCTTCATCTAACAAAAAGTTGCCACTCTGCTGCAAATTTGTTGAAAACACTGACCAATATAAAATGACAGGAACATCATGTCTTTTAAAAATATCCCTCCAAAATCAACCTGCATCTCTCAAAAAAAGAAACAATTGGATTCTAAACTATGCATAGTTCTAAAAGCTTACTCTCAAGCATCCATTTTTAGAAATACAGAACCATTCCTCCAGCTTTTTAAATAGCTGAGACTTAATATGCCATAAAAACATACTGTAAATATTTCTGTTGCTGGAATGGTGTCTCTGTTACCACAAGGAGTTGCTAGGATATTATCTGTGTCAGGATGTTTGTTGTGCCTTCATAAAGGAAAACTAACAGTCATTTTGATGCATTATGCAAATAATATCCTGTTTTCTCAAGAGATTCCTTTGCAGCAATCAAAAAAAACCTCCCAGCCTTTGAGCAGATTTCTGTACTCTGCTGTCAGCTTCCCTGCAAGGAATAATTCCATTTTTCCTGCAGTGATTGCAGTAGTAAATAAACCTGTGCCTAACTGAATTTAGTGCTTGAGATCATACTGCAGGCACATCTCAGCAAGCCTCTCAAACTCAGAAACAGGAAAGATGTTTAAAATGTTTAAAATAAATCACTTTTGTCACCAAAATTATGTTTAGAAACAACTGCTAAACTGATACCTCTGTTTCACTGATGGTTATTAAGAATTGTGTTTAACAGAGGAGTAAAGTCATAAAGTTGATCACTGTAAAAGAGAAGTTTGGTTGCAAAACTTTTCTGGCCCTCTTGTTTCTGATACTTTAGAAGAACCTGTAATAGAATGAAACATGATTAGAGTACTTATAATAAAAAGAGGAAGTTGTTTTTAAGACACATAATTTATGCTTGACTTGTCTTTGACATTCCCAAGGTGGTTTAGATTTTGTTGGGTTTTTTTTCAATATCTGCAGGAGATCACTTCAGTCTAACTTAACACAGCAAGCCACAACTTTGCTGTGCTGAGTTTGGACCTTGCTGCTTATTTAGGTGTTGTTTTAAAGGGTCCTTTAATTCCTCCCTCATTCCTGGCTGTGATTTTTTTTTTCTTTGTTTGAACAAGGACTGAATGGAGGTTAAAGCCTCCAAATTATGGCTACAGTTCCTTGTTAGAGAAAGCAGCAACAATGGTCTTTGATTAAATGTATGGGATATAAATTGTAGGTCGAAAATCCAACCAAATGTACTGAAATTTTTTGGAGCAGGCCTTTAAGCTTGTGTGAACTGCTTGCATTGCTTGGTGGTGGTCAGAAGAGAAGGCTCTGAGCTGCACCAGGACATTTGGTGCCCTGTTTCTGACCCAGCAGGGCGAGGAAATGTCAATGTGATGAGAAGGTCTCAGGAGATCTGCAGCGTGAATTCCAGGCAAAAGTTATTCAAACAAGCATGAGGTGGATTTTGGGCAATCTATTTTCAGTTTGGGTTTTTGACCACCATTGAGAAATTGAAGGGATGAAAGGAAGTGTTTTCCTGAGAAAATCAGAATGGAACCAATGGTAAACCTGGTTTCATCCAGCACTGGATTTAGGGTTGAGCAATAGCACAGTGGACTCATTATATTTGTTCTTTAGACAAAGGGAGCTACAAAGAAGAATTAGACACCTTCATAAGATTTTTTTTCTGAACTATGCAACAGCAAGCCAGGAAGAAAAATTCCTGTATCCAAATATATGGGGTTTTGTTTAATGTCAGGTGTAAAAACTTATTTCCTTGTTTTGGCAATATATGACTAATAATGATTGCTAAATCAGAATTATTTGGGTTTTAAAGTCACTGCACGGGACCCCCTTTAGCAATGGAATAAAGTTATGGGATGAAAAGAGAGAGATTAATTATTATTTCATCAAAGGAAAAACATTCTAAATGTATTTAGCATTTATATCGCTGATATATTTGCAAAAAAGTTAAGTATGACGTATTTATTTTAAAAAATACATTGTAATAAGAATGGAACTCTGAAGCCCTCACATAAAGCTATTTTTCTTCTATTCAGCTCTAAAATGTTGGTGGGGTGGTAGCAGGACTGGATAAAATATAATACTGCTGTATTTAAGCAAAATATTAAATCATAGACAGGGAAAAGAAGTATAAAAATAGATATTTACTATAATTCAGATGGAAAAGCAGTTCACATTTGCAAAGCAGTTTGAACAGTACACATGACAACACCATTATTTTAGCAGGGTTCACATAGCAGGTAACTAATTTTAGCTGAGAATATTACAGACTACTATGATTTTCTAAGCCCAAAGGTTTTTAATGAAGTCATTTAACTTGAAGAGTTTGAGAACAGGATGTATTTTGAAGGATTGAAGTGAGGCAATAATAACATCATGCTGATGATGATTTTCAGGGAGTCTAAGCATTTCATCACTGCTAATTCCCACACAGTACCACCCATTACTTTTAAATAAATGGCTTTTCATGATGTAAGGAATGAAAAATTGAGGAATAACCTGGGGTTTTCCTCAGGTCTCCTGACAAATAGAGGTGCATTTCAGCTGTTTACCATTTAACTGCTCTCAGCAATTACTAAATACCAGCCCCAGCTCTGTTTGCCTGACATTCTCCTTCTACCAAGACTGCTCAGCACATTTATTTTACTTTAAAATGTGTGAAATCTTAATTTGAATCCTCTCATTTCTCTAAATGGCTGAAACAAGTGTCCCAATTTCTGGTGATACTAATTCCCATTAAAATAAAAACAAAAAAAAAAAAAAAAAAACCAAAAAAAATCTCAGCTATCTGCTAGAGGGACCTGACTGATTTTTCTGTAGTGGAAGAGGTGTGTTGATCCTTTCTGAAAATGAGAATCCACTTGGAGAGCAAAGAGTGTCAGCAAAAACTCGGTTTGTTTTGGGAGAGCGTCTGCAGCATGGTGAGAGGGACTGCAGCTCATCACCAGATCAGAACATTTCCAAAACATAGTTCTGTGCAGCCTTTTTAAATTAAGTAGATACCCATTCTCATTTCCTTGGGGAAATGCACTTAGAAGGAGGTCTCTGCAGTGGGAAGAGAAGGGCAATTTCTAAGGCTCAGAAGAAGGAGAGGAGGGAATAAGAAGTGCCACCTAATCTTCAAATGGAATTTTCCTGTGTGGCAGTTTGCTGTTAGATTTGTTGAATCCCGAGTTTCTGCTTTTGAGCAAAAGGATTACCTGTGGGGTAAAAACTCTTGTATTTATGGGGTGATTTGAAAACAGACTCGATGCCAGAATCTCCTTCCGCCCCCCACCAGTATATGTGTAACAATGTTTAAGGATGAACAGCTGGGACTAAATCCAGGAATCCATACCTGGACAACAGTTCTGGCAACATTTTAACTTCAGTAAGGAATCCAGATTGGTAATTTTGTCTGTCATGGATGTAAAGTGAAAATCTGACCTGTGTAAAATTCTGATAGCAAAATACAAAAAGTGATTAGGTTTATCTAATTAAGCATTTTCTCACTGTCTAAAAAGATAGGCTTACCAAAAAAAAAAAAAAGAAAATACAAACAAACAAGTTTAGAAGCATTGGTGAACCTGAATGAGGTTTTGAATTCCAAAGGTGACTTGTCTTCCAGGCTTGGGAAAAATGGTACAAATCAACGTGCAAACCTGCAACCCTGGGCAAAACTCAGTCCTACCCAGTAGATGTAAAACTGCTTCATGCCAGAGACTCTGCCTGAACTCCCCCTGTTCCAGGTCCTGCATGTAGATAAATGTACTTTGTTAGAGGTCTATGCACCACAGAACCTCAAATCCTATCAGGCAAGACACAGAAATTGAGCAAAACTCTTTGTTTCACATATGGGAAGTGGAAGTCCAGCTAAATACCTGGTGAAGTTCATGGAGGAACCTTGTGCTCCCCCTGAGAAGCGAACTTCATTTTCCCAAGTTCTTATCCAAAGTACCTACCTAGTGCCCAACTCCTTTTTCAAAATTAAGAACAATTTTATTGAAAGATGGTGGTGATGATGCCCAAGTATGATTGGTGTTTCTGAGAAGGTTCAGTCTAAGCAGACCAAGAATAAAGAAACAGGCACAGAGAGATAATAAAGTGAATCATGCATTACGTGAATAACAGGAATTAGGTCCTCTGAGTACAACTACCCTGCTGTGCTTTTATTTCCCTACAGCTTTCGCTGTACTTTTGGGATTCCTTGGAGAATCAAGACCTGGAAACTCCCATAGACCAGCACTTTGAGGAGAGCATAAGAGTCTTGAGTAGCCTGAGTACAAAAAAGGCTGGGTTTCTTACAGTTTCACTCTGAATACTGACCATATTTTATACCAAATTCCTACAGATTTGATTACTTTTATTTGGCCCATTTATACTGTAAAACAGCTCCTCTATTGATTTATTTCAGCCCATTTATACTGTAAAGCAGCCCCTTCATGTGCATTGTTTTCGGGAACCTGGGTGTTTTCAAAGCTCATCTTATGTGACAGAAGTTGTAAAAGCTTTGATTTCAACTCCCTTGGTTACAGGTCTCACAACTGGTGAGTCAAGCCTACGGCTTGCCTTGACTTCAGAAATGCTCCTGGGCTTTCAAGAGCAACCCTCAATCATCAGCTGCTGTCAATAACAGAAGACACATCTTTGTCCATGCAGGGTGATTCAGGGTCCTCCCCTGTGGTACAGCTCTACAATGAGGGTAAAATTCAGGTCCTTGAACATCTCCCCATCGCCTGGTGCAGCTGGAGACCATCCTAAATGTCACAGACCTCCAGACAAAGTTCAGGGAGCATGTCTGGGATGTTGATCTTTCTCTAATTTACATGCAGAGCTCTGAGTGCCTTTGTGCACATGTTGGTGGGGAGGGTGTGTTATAAAACACTCCACTGTTCCCACTTCTCCCACTGGCAAGGAGAGGAGGGAGCAGGCACATGGCAGTCCTGTTGTTAAACACTGCTGAAGGCATCTGGATGAAGTAGTAGTAAATGGGGTACAGAAATCCGTGGAAAAGTGTTGGAACCCTGGAAAATGAGAATTTCAGACTTTCTGTGCTAAGAGGAACTGACCCCCAAGGGAACACTGCATTTGACCTGAAGCTGTGGGGAAGGCTTCCAAAATAGAATGACAGAACTGGGATTGTAGATGTGCAGTTTGAAGAGAAGTGTGTGATATCACATGGTGGAAAACTTAGAGTTTAAGGGTTTAGAATATAGTAATATATATAAAGCAAGATGGAGGTTTTAGGGCAGAGGCTGGTCCTTCGTCAACTTGATCTTCATGGGTTTGAGTGGTTTTGTGTAATTGGATAAGAAGTCCACATTGCAGGACACAGGTGGTTGGTTATTGGGTCAAAAGTAAAAATAATTTAGGTGTCATTTCTTAATTGGACAGTCTATCCTTAAAATACCTTGTAGAGAGAGAGATGGGGCTCCATTTTTAGTTTGTTAGAGTGAAGTGCTGTAGAACTCAGGGTTCATGAGAGTGTAACATAGATAAGAACTAACAAACCTCTGAGTCCAAACAAGAAATACAGTCTTGTGCATTTAATCCTGACCTTGGAAGAAGAAAAAAGGAAGAAAAGAATTGGCAGAAAAACTCTATTTCTACCTCGGAGTCTGCCCCACGATGAATCCTGCTTGTGCCACTGACTCACACGCCCAGGCAGAAGCTCTGCAGTCAGAAAATGAGAAAGAAGAGACCTCAGAAGGAAATGTCAGGGTAGTCATTTTCTCACAGGACTCTTCCTGGCAGCTGGAGCTGGTGGCTCTGGGACAACACGTTGGAGTTTTGCAGGGGGATTCCTGCGGAACGGAAACGTCCTCCCAAGGATCATTCCCCTGGCTGTGCTCGGTCCTGTGGGAAACTCTTACCCTATGACGAGTTCTTCTAAACTAGATGGGATTTATATTTATTCTTAAGTTGTCTTTTATTTTTGGCAACTCCCCCACTGCTGGCTTGACATCTCAGAAACGAGACCCTTCGGATTCTCAGAAGCCAGAAATGCCGCTGACAAAACTAATTCAGAACTGTCCTCCTCAGCTCTACTCCCTTTTCTTTCCATTCACTTATTCCCTCCTCTGCTAATTCTGGAACAGTTTTGGTGCACATTAAAAGTAATTAAGACCATGTTGCTGGACATACATAATCCAAATTAAGAGAAGAAAAGAAAATACCTATCTGCTCAACCTGATTCTACTTCTAATTTATGAGGTTTGGATTTTGCATGGTAAGACTTAGAGACAGGTGCTGGACAAAGCTTGTAAAACAACCAAAATTGGGGGCCATAATTCTGAATGAATTTTGGGGTTTTTTGAGGCATCTTAGATTCATGTCTAGAAGATTTTATTCACTCCCCTAAATTTCAGTCATAATTTATCTCAGCTATGGTTGTAATGCCTCATGGGGCATTGAGTTGTTTGTTATAGGCTTCTCTTATATATGTTTCTCTTTTTTTTCCCCTTCCCCTGCAGATGCTGCAATCTCAGTCTGAGACCTAAGAATTAGCCTGGATTCATTTCTAATTGCATAGCTTCATGAGAAAGAAGAGACTTGCCAGCTTGCCCAGCGTCCCCAGTGATATTTCTTACTCTCATTAATCCCTGGAACTCTATTAATGTGATGTGTACACATGCACGAGACCATTCTGCTGATTATGTGCAGCATATGGAGAGATTTTACATCAATATCTTCATTTTTCTAGTTGTTCCCTTTTGGCAGGAACAACAAAGGGTAAAATCTGCCTCTCCTATATGGAGTGATTCCACACACTGACTCATTTCCAGACATTCCAAACAGAAGCACAACCTAATATTTTGCTGTATTAAGTTCTCCAGTTTCCACCCAAGGGTGAGAATTTGGTGACTCCAGGTGTTAAAATCCCCATCAGACTCTTTACTTGCATTCAGTACCAGCTAGAGAAAAATTAAAGGACTCTTTTAAAATATGAAGTTTAATTCTATCCAGAGTGATAAAGAGTGGGTTAGGAGCTCAGAATTTGGAGTTCAAATTTATTCCAATGGTGGTCTGGATTTTTATGCCAGAGATGTGTTTTCTCATGCCTGTGAGTAGAACAATTAAAACAAGTTAAAATCATTGAACTCTCTTTCCTACTGCTGTTGAACTTGGAAAAACAATGCACAGTTTTAAATTTTTAAGAAGTTAAAGATTATTTTTGTTTAATTTTTAAAGTTGTTGGATGGGGGATTTTTGGGTTTTTTTTTTTTTTTTTGTAACAATCTTTAATTACTTGCTGGTCTTGTCAGGCACTTACAGAGCCATGTAATGTCTAGTATTAAATAACTCTTGGTAGATTTGATCCCATACCCCCCAAAAACACCCAAAATGGAGAGTTTTAAGGGAAAAGACAGTCTTTCACTTGGTCAGAGCATGCCAAGTGTCTCTGTTTGGGGTGATCCCAGATCATCTGGGAGGGGAAACAAGGGGAGTAAATTCCAGTGCCTTTCTGCAGGGGTCTGAAAAGCGTGAATTTTCTCCTTTTACAGTGAATTTACACAGGCAGACCCTCCGGCCTTATTTTGTGCTGTGAAAATGCTGTTGGATTGTCCCAGCCCCTCTGCTGTAACAGAGGCACAGCGCACTCTGCCTCGGATGGAGCCTGGGTGAGCAGAGGCTCTTTGGGCAAATCATCGCTCCTCCATCTCCCACAAGCCTTTTTTCTGTGTTCCACTTTCACATCTGAGACATATAGACACTCTCATCCAAAGACATTCCTGCTTTTTGACAATTGAGCACCTCTTGGAAGCAGAACCCTGCTCCAGGGCAAGCAGTGGCACAGTGGAGTGAGGGCAACTCCTTCCTCCTGAATAAATGCCGTTAATGTGTGGGACAGCGAGGTGGTGATTCATGACTGAGCACTGTAGGCAAGCACAAAGCTTTTAAATGCTACGTTTAGGCTAAGATTGCAACAGATAAGCAACCTGGAAGATGGGATGCAGAGCAATGTGGGAATTCTGACACCACAGACTAGACTTCCAGTCACTGGATATTGCATAACCTGAGATAAACAGAAATCTTTGTTGTGAAGCTTAAAAAAAACCTCCTCAGGATGGAATGCTTGTTGAACATAATGCTGCCTAATTTTGACTCTGTCAGCTGTCAAATTCATCTCCTCATTTAAAAGAAAAAAAGTTAAATAAACCAAAGTTTATGAAACATATGTTTGCATTTAAAACTGTTTTGCTGTTCACTCTGAGAGGACTTTGGAGACATGGCCTGTGTTATAATACCACTTCCATTAAACATTGGAAGCTCAACTTTTCTTACAAAAAAATTCACACAAACATTCTGCTCTTAATCCAAACAGAGGGGTTACGAACTGAACCTTCAAACAGAAACTTTCAATATTTGGCTTCTCAGCTCAGTAGCACCAATCTGGGATGCCAACCAGCATGCACTGTCATTAATAATTGTTGTTAAAAAAGGTTCTAAAGGCAGAATACCCAGTGCATATAGCTTGTCTGCTTTTTTAACCAAATAAGGGAACAGGGCATTTCACTGTTTATAATAGCAACATGAAATACGATGTTTCAAACTGTTAAAGAAAACACTTTTAAACTTTTCCTGCCCATTTCCAAGTTTCTTCAGATTCTAAAAAAAATAAATTAAAAAAAAATAACAAAACTGGCTACAACCCTCTGGCAGATTTATAGAAACCTCAGTTTTTCACTTTTCAAAACATTTTAACAAAGCTCCAGAGATGAACAACATATCACCCAAGTTCTGGCAGCTATGCCAGGATTGTACACACAGTTCCCAAAGAGTAAACACACAAAAATCAATTCCAGGCAATGACAGAAAGCGGAACTAATTAAAGACTCCAAAGCAAAACAGATCATTTTCTAAGACAAACATGTCAATATTTATCACACAAGTGAAGCTGGTCCTACAGTCAGTCTGGTGGTATTTATAAACATACAGCTGGCACAATAACATCTTGGTAATTATCAAATGAATGTTAATAAAATATACATAAATACTTAAACCCTACACTAGGCAACTCTTAAACTGCTGCTTTAGCCTCTTACCAAAACTTCAGATTGTCTGACAGCATCCTGAAGTTTTTTAATGATTTGTTACTATCCCCTCTTACCATTAAAACTCTTGACTTAGCCAGAGTTCCTTTTGATCACCCCAGTGCAAGGAGGCAGATTCAAACCACAAAATCCTCATCACACAGTGCAAGGAGGCAGATTCAAACCACAAAATCCTCATCACACATCTCTCTTCCCCACGTTTTCATCCCCCTGCCAGCCCAGGAACTGCTGAGCAGAGCTCCCCTGGTCTCTCCTGCTGGTGGTGCCATTCCTGCCCTGTGCTGGCCACCCCTTCATCCTGCTGGAGCCTTTCTGGCACCAGAGCCAGGCCACAGCAGCTGAAATACAGAAAATACAGCGTTTTATTCCCTGCTTCCAGTCTGGGTTATGGATTGAACCGGGACTTTAGGACAGCAGGTTCTCACTGCCCAGAAGCGAGGGCAATGCTGTGCAGGTGGGAGGAAAGGATGTTTTCCTCCACCCTGACCAAAACCAAGAGAGCCATCAGCATTTCTCCAGCTTTGCAGGGCTCAGAGTGATGGTGGTACAGCTCTGCCAGACGAGTTTTTTCTCATCAGCTGAGTGTTTGATGTTCAAATCAGCCATGCACTCCGAGAATGCTGAAACTGCTGCTGCACCTCCCTTTTTCACAGCCAGGTTCCTTTAGGGCAAGGAGTGTGTGTTTAGCAGGGCTTGCTGCTGTTTCTAGCACTGTGTGCCACTGAAGCAGCCCCACCTGAGCAGGAGGCAGCTCTTCCTTCCCTCTGTCACTGGAAATGGTCTGTGTGCTGGTGCCAGGTGGGAGGAGGTGGGAGGAAGGGATGGATGTGGCAATGGGTGTGAGTTTCATGAGCTCTGTGCACCTCTTCACCCAGGTTAGCTGCACTTCCAACTCCCTGCTGGGTACTATTCTCCAGCATGCCCAAGATTTCTACTTCCTTCTTGGTTTTGCATGCATCAAACGCATTCAGGAAGCACCAATTCCTTTCAAAGGACAACTCCAGAGCTGATGGATGGAAGCCAGCTTTGCAGATCAAAGTTCCTTTTGCTCCTCAATACAAACAGAGTATTGCAAAATGAAGGGGAAATCTGCAGCATACCTGCACAGCACAGAAAAGAAACAGCACCATGGCTCAAAAGCTTTACTTTTGAGCTTGAGTTTTGCAGTTTGGAGAGGCTAAGGCACAATTTCTTCCTATTTTTTTTATATTATCTTGGGTGGAAATTTAAATGTAACAGCAAGAAAGCCAGGTTGTATCCATCATTTGACTTTATTTCTACTTGGTTGGTTAGTAAGAGAACTTCCTGTCTGCAGGAAAGGTCTGTGCTTTGGAAAGAACTATTTATTTCAGCTTGATTGAAACACTATATGCTGGATTTGACAGAGTGAATGAAATAAAGTTCAGGAAGTTTTCATTGCTGCCTGAAAGGAAATTTTATCAAACCTGACATTCATGCTGTTAGAAGTTCCAGTACTCACAAAGGGCCATGTTTTAACTTTTCCAATTGATTCCAGTTCAGGCTGTAGTGCCACATCCAGCAGCATGGTTTTTTATGATTTTATAAGAAATTCTTTGCCTTTTCCTGAGCTGCCTCCTGCTCTGGGCCATCACTAAAATGTGTGTTGTCATTGAGAGATTGTTTGAGGAACTGGCTCAGCTGAACAAAACTTCAAATCCATCCTTCCTTCCTTCCTTCCTTCCTTCCTTCCTTCCTTCCTTCCTTCCTTCCTTCCTTCCTTCCTTCCTTCCTTCCT